GATCTCGCCGTCGTCAGAATCCGGGTCGTTGGAAATTACCCACTCGACTTCATAAAACAGGCTTCCGACGCCGAGAGCGAACTCGGTCAAGCCCTCTGCCAGGCCGCTGAACTGCGAAAACTTGTACTTGTCGCCGCGCTCGTAGGAGATCTTGACCAGGTGGTTCAGACCAAAGGCCTGCTCTGCCTGGATGCCGGAGCGGAGGGCCAGGAGACACCTCTCATAAATGTTTGGCCCGTCAAGTGTTCCTGGTTATCGTTAGAATCGCATCAATCAAGCAGTCAGCAGCTAGGGAGGGCTTACCTGGAGGAATAGACGCGCGGACAAGAGCTCCCGGGTTGGGTACTGGAGCTGCTGCCTGCCTCAACAGCCGCTGCTTCCTGGCAAACAAGTCCGGGTTGCTCGCGGGAGTGTCTACGATGCGCAGTGGCACCTGCTGTGGGGGCTGCGGTTGATAGTTTTGCACTAACGGGTTGCTCATGTCAGGCCCCGGGGGGTTGTAGACGAGAGAGGGCGCCCCGCGGCCGGGGTGTGGGTGGCTCTGGTGCATTGCGATCGGTGTGCCGCCGTGCGACTGCGAGTTGTGATGGGGCTGAGACTGAGACTGAGGGTGCGTAGTTGATCCGGACGCGCCAGGCTGTTGGCCCGAGGCGTGGCGGGTCTGCCGCGATGAGTTGGTGTCGGGGTGGAAGATGACCCTCGGGGCCGGCGCTTCTCTCAGACCGCGCGAGGCCCGGCCGGAGGCGGGGGTCTCTTCGGCGCGCCGCTCTCTACTCGGCGTGCCTTCCTCGGTCGACCCCTCCCGATCGGCCTTTGTTCTAGCCTGGAACGTCTCCAATGTGCGGGTGAGAAGGGAGCCTCCCTTGGCGGTGGTGAACTCGAGAATTTCGGGCGGGGGCGGCTCCTTGTTGTGGACAGTCTTGATCTCGTAGGCGGCCAGGTTCTTGTAGAAGATTTGTTTGAGGGTGTAGGCGTCCGCTGGAGCATTATGCCGCATCAGGCCCAGGCCCTCGCACATCTTGCGCCACATGAGCTTCTCGTCCGACACCTTGTCATAGCCGCCGTGCTCGATAATGTGATTGAAGAGCTTGAGCAGGTCGACGGTGAAGTTTCCCATCTTGGGCTCTGGGTCGAAGTTTGTGCCGCGCTTCTCGTGGAAGACGCGCAATTCCTCGATGAACTTCTCATACTCGGGGGTGCGATCGACCGAGTGCTCGACGGTCGCTTTGGTGGGTGCCATTTTGGCGCATCGAGCGCGGCGCGGCGCCGAGCTGTGATTTGTAACTGTCGGGAGATACTAAAAGCTGTGATGGAGCCGGATTTGTGACGATTCGCAGGAAGACGCGCCGGGATGAAGTCGACCACAGGTGCGGGTTGTGAATCTCGCGATGCGACGCGAGGCCGTGATTGGCATTCGCGGGAAGTTTTTGGCTGGGGGTGTTAAGGCTGTTGCTGTGGGCCCCCTGTAGCCTAGCGCCATGCACGGGCCATCACTCGGAGTCTCGGTCTCGGGCCTTGCATTCACAACAAATGACCCGTTTCCAGTTCTAGACATTCAACTCGGTCTTTGAAGGGATCACATTGCACCTGCACCCCAACCCTTTCCAGCTAGGCATAGATAGCAACTGAGTTTGGTTTCAAGATGTTGTCACCTCGAGCACGGGAAACGACTATCATAGTACGATGCTCCAAGTCTCAGCACACCAACTCTTCTGCTGCTTGACGAGAACCTACTTGTAGGTAGGCGGCACACAAGTTCAGTTTTCCAGAGCCACCAATTTAATGGCACAGTTATGAGTTTGTCGGGCTTTGATTGCAAGGAATCCCTCCAAAGTGGAAGTTAGGTCACTGCAATGGCAAGATGGAGCATCAAAGCCTGGGGGGTGTCCTGGTAGTTCCTTCCTCGAGCACACGCAGCTCGGCTTAGCACCTGCACTTTTGGCTCATCTTGGGATTCACTGTCTTCGGTTCAATCCTTCCATGCCAGTGCTTCAAACTCACTCCCCGCATTTCATGCCCGATACACATTGTACCACCTGGAAAGCCCAGGATGACAGCCTTGCAGAGCACATCCACCACCAGGCGACCGATATTGCGGATCGACTTGGCAAGCATCAGCATTGATGACAGGCCGAATGCGTACAAGAAGCCGCAGCTGGTGCTCAAACCACAGCTCGAGCTGGCTCCCCGCAGGCCGTACACCGGATCGCGGCCACGGATGCCTCTTTGGCGCCATTTCTTGATGGTGCACGTGAAAGACAAGGCGGATGAAATAGTTTGTTCCCGGATCTGCCCACCGAGCCACATGCTAAGACATCCCGCAGGTGAAGTTGGACCTGGACACTTTTGCACCGTCGTCAGCAGATAGCAGTGCTATCCCTCGCCCGTCTGTCGCCTGTCTATTCTCCAGTTGTTCTCTCCTTTTCCGGCATTCGACAGGAACCGAGAGTGTGAGTAAAGTCAGCACTTGCTTGACACCCAGAACGGCCGCCAGCTCACCATCATTCAGCTGTTCTCTACACTCAACATCACCTTCCAGAAAACCTCGGATCTAGACACAGTCCTACGGGAACTCGGCACTCTAAATATCAACATAGAGTCTGACCAAGCCGGTCGAGAGCATGGTCTCATCTCTGGGCCAGCTACATTTGGGTCATGGGCACCACCATGGCAGAACTCTGCGCCAATGTACCGGCCATCCAGCAATCCACGGCAGCTGAACGACTCAAGCCCCCCTCTGGCCACCGGGCCAAGCTCCCACGGCCGGCCCCCATCATATCTGGACAGCCATGCCTACGGATCCCTTCTTCAACGGCCACCTAGCCAACCGATAGGACCGCCCGCAAACTTGCAACCCGGCCAGCGCCCCTGGTCGCCGGCGTTCGTGCCATCCCGGCCAGCCACAACCCTTGGAGTACCTGGGATTCTCGGCGAAGGCATCTACAAAGTCAGCAAGATTGGCTCCACCACTGCGAGCAGGCCGAGGGTGAGGCGGACTTCAACGCTTCTCGAACAACAAGGCCCCAGGATGTACACGGTCTCCAAGCACTTTGACAAGACACTCAGTAAAGCCGATATCCTGGATGCGACAAGAGGACGGTATCTGGGACGAGGCCTGTCCTCCGGCTTGCAAGGCGAGCCGTCACCATATCTGACTAGATCGCCCAGCCTGAGCACCCCCGGGACTGAAAGTCAGGGCAAGCCTGGACACGAGCAGCGGCCCCGGCAACCTCTGGCTAGGATGTCGAGTGTTCTGGAAGGTGTCCCAGTCAACACCCAACACCAGCCAAGGCTCAGACGGCTGCGAACAGTCGATGATACTCCGGACTCGAGGCAGCCCGTCGGGTTTACTGATACAGAGCGACAGTCTTTTCTCTCAAGCGTCGCCGAGGAGAAGAGCAGATACGGGTTTTCACAGCCAGAGCCGGCATCAAGATCCATCGACGAGGCCTTCCTCTTCAGCTCAAGCCCCACGTTGCTGGAACGGCCCACCAGACATGAAGCGGAGGATGACTGGCTGCTGCCGGCTTCACAGATTCAGCATCAAGGGATGTGCGAAGCGAGCAGGGTATGGGACGACTTGATGGAGAGGGCGGGCAAAGAAGTGGCATCGGCGGAGCCATCGAGGGAGTTGTCGGAGGTGCTGTCCAGGTTTGAGGGCGAGTTTGCGCGGCGCTGGGACGGAGTTGTGGCTGCCACGGCGCAGAACATGACGGAGGTTCGGGTTGGAAGATATGCTTTTTAATGTCATGGCTTGTATTTCGCCTAAAGTAACCCGTAAACTCAAAATGTGGCGGTGTGTTGAAGATTCTTGCCAACTCCAGCCCCTAACCGATGTCGCTCCGAAGCAGTCCACTCCTATATGATGACAACCCCCATGGGATTTGGTAATCCTTGCTCCCATAACCACACATACCCCTTCATCCATCCACTTCATCCCCTAAATCCTAAACCTTACTCTGCTCCTCCCCATTCCCCTTCCCATCCCCGTCCTTCGCACCCTCCTTCACCCCCTCCCCGCCCTCCTCCCTAAAAACCAACGAAACACTATTCACACAATGCCTCTCATCCGTCGGCGTGGCGAACCCCTCCCCCTTGAACACATGGCCCAGGTGACCGCCGCAGTTGGCGCACACGATCTCGGTGCGGAGCATGCCCAGCGTGCGGTCCTCGTGGCGCACCACCGCCCCCGGGATGCTGTCGAAGTAGGCCGGCCAGCCGCAGCCCGACGAGAACTTGTGATGCGCGGTGTACAGGGGCGCGCTGCACCCCGCGCACGTGTACGTCCCGCTGGCGGGGGCGTGCTTGTCGTAGGCGCCCGAGGAGGGCGGCTCGGTGCCCTTTTCGCGGAGGATGCGGAATTGTTCTGGTTGTTGCTAGGTTAGCATTTTTTGGGGAGGGGGGCGGGGGTTGGGGTGGGGGGGGGGAGGGGTACCTGGGCTGAGGACGGCGCGCCACTCGTCCGGGGTGCGCTGGTCGGGATATGATGTCATGGTGTTTTTGGTGTTGTCGGCGGTGGATGAGGTGCCGAATAGAGCGCTGAGGAACGGGAATGTCATGGACTTCAAAGGGGTGGTGTTGGAGGGCCGGGGAGTAGTCCGGAAGGTGGCTGGTCGTGTGAGGCTTGAGAGAGTAAGCAGAATGCGGAAGAGTCGCGCGCGCATGAAGGTGAGTTGGGGGTGAGATGGGACCGAGAAGTGGGAGTTTATATATTCAGGGTGTATGTGGAATTCCCGTCGGGTTGGAGGCACGAAATACAGCTGAGCGGGATGAATAGTGACAAATCACGGTTATTGGACTGGCAGTGCTAGTGAGGCGGGGTGGTTGAGTTTGGAATCAGTTCCCTCGATGCGGCGATCGAGGTGGCGGAGTTGAGTACCACACTAAGGTCCCCGGTTCACCCAGGTGTTTGGACATTTCCCTCTGAAATAGTTACCTAGTTACCTTTCCTCCCATATGAGGTACGCCAGGCAGTTCAGACAATAACTAAAGCTAAGGCTGGGTGTATGGTCTAGTGGTATGATTTTCGCTTCGCACTTCTTGGTCGACTTATGGTCCACCTGATGCGCCCTGTGAAAGGTCCCCGGTTCAATCCCGGGTGCATCCAATTTTTGCCTGAGACTTATAATCAGTTGTTTATGTCGTACAGTGTTTCATGACGCTTGCTCTGGTAGGCATTCAGCCCACGAACTCAAAGACTGTCTTTTTGGACATAATATTTATGAAATGCCTAATCAGAAGCATACCCTGCCATCCTGTGATCTAGCAATCGCTATCATAGCTTCTGCAACTGTGCAACTGTCTGCTCCCGTATGCCAATATCGGGGGGATGCAACCACTGACTCGGTTAAACGGTTCCCCACCTCTTCCACCCTGTTTCGCCGCGCGACGTCCCGCACCTTTATCGGGAAACCCAACTCGCGCAAACTGTCTTGAACTCGAGGCATCCACGATTCGGTCTGCCCGCGCCCACACTCATCAGCAACCGACAGCGTCTTGAACCAAACCGCCTTCCGCCATGTCTCGACGGCCGCCGAACCCCGCTGCCGAGCGGGCAGCACAGAACCAGCAGACCATCAAGAACCTCCTGAAGTTAGAGCCCAACAAGGTGTGCGCCGACTGCAAGCGCAACAAGCGTGAGTCTCTCCCTGCCGCGCCTGGACGTCAGTATCATCATGCTCACTGCTCCGCCACCAGACCCGAGATGGGCAAGCTGGAACCTGGGCGTCTTCGTCTGCATCCGCTGCTCGGGCATCCACCGCGGCATGGGCACCCACATCAGCCGAGTCAAATCCGTCGATCTGGACGCATGGACCGACGAGCAACTACAGAGCATCCTGAGCTGGGGCAATGCGCGCGCAAACAAGTACTGGGAGGCGAAGCTGGCGGCCAACCACGTTCCCTCGGAAGCCAAGATCGAGAACTTTATCCGCACCAAGTACGAGCTGAAGCGATGGGTCATGGAAGGGCCCATGCCAGATCCCGCGACACTCGACGCAGAGGGCGACGACGACGTACCGCTGAGCGTTGTTAAGGAGAAGCAAAACGTGGAACGTCGGGAGTCTGTCCGCAAAGCATCCGTCGGCCGGTCAGCAGCCCCGCAGGCCGACCTTATCGGAGCGGAGCCGATCGCGGCCCCGGCTGCGGCACCGCTAAGAGCGAGCAGTACCGGGCCGACGGCGATGCAAGTTCCCCCGAAGTCTGGGCCGGCACCGCCCAAGGCTACCAGCACGAAGGACTCGCTTCTTGGATTGGATTTCCTGGGCACGCAGCCGGCCGCGCCGCCACGGCCAGCGAGCACCACCGGCACCCCCAGCGGCGGCCAGTCCCGCCCGGATCTTAAGCAGTCCATCCTTTCACTTTATGCGACGGCTCCTCGGCCGCAACCTCAGCCGGTCGCGCAACAGGTCTCCCATGGCCCATCTGGGTCGTTGAGTGGGATGCCTTCCCCTACAGGCATGAACCAGGTGCCGGGGTCGGCGGGCGGGCTCAATGATGCCTTCAGCAGCTTGAGCTTTGCCAGCGCCCCATCTCCCAAACCAGCCCAAAATGATGCTTTTTCGAGCCTCGGTTCTTTCACATCCCCCCGCCCGACACCCCAGTCGAGCGGTTCGAACGCCTTTTCAGCGCTGAGCGGCGGCAACTTCTTCGACTCCAAGCCAGCAGCCTCGGCGCACCAGCCGAAACAGTCCATTACCACTTCAGGCTGGGGATCTGCTACGTCGCCTGCGGCAGCCCCCAAGTCCGCCGCAGCACCCGCTTCATCTGCTCTGGGCGACTTATTCGACTTCTCCGCATCTTCCCCACCGGCCGCGGCTCCTCAGCCGGCACTCGCCCCAACCACCACAACCGGCTCATCTGTCTTTAACCTGTCGGCAAGCCAGCCCAAGCCCAGTCCTCCCGCCGCGACTTCGACTGCGACCGCGAACCCCCTCGGCTCACTGGGCGGTAGCAACTGGGGAGGCTCGGACGTCTGGGGCGGCAATGCGTGGGCTGGCGCTGAAGCGCCCAAGGCTGCTCCAGAGCCGCCAAAGCCGGCTGCAGCTGCGGCATCTAGCGATATGGGATGGGCCTCGTTCGCCAGCCAGCCTATCGTCCCTGGCGCGTCGGGAGGGTTTGCGCCCAAGGTGGCGGCGGACGAAGAGTTTGGCGGGTGGACGAGCAGCACGGCGACGGCAAACACGAACAGCGCGTCCAAGCCGGCGGCTGGGTTTGGCGGGGGCGAGGACCTGTTTTCGAATGTGTGGCAGTAAGAGGGGGCATGGTGGTAAATATCCTAGCCCGTCAAGCTAGGGTTGGTGGCATGAGCATGAGGTCACTTGGTGAAGGCTCTCGGATACATGACGCGCATAGCGGGGGCAAGACAAAACGGGAGGCCAGTTCTGCTTTCGTTTCCGTAGACGACCTCACGAGCAAAATGAATAATTCAGTCATAACATCTCATTGAGGCTTGTATGTGTATGTGTGTTGTATATGTATTATTTCCCTGCCGCGAGGCAAATCCAGCAAAGACAACCCATCCAACGCCCTGCTATGCCCGCGTACGAAACCTAAATCAAACCCCAACACAAATGATACAAGCCCAAATACACCCCCATACACCGCGCTGCGCTGCAACGGATCCACCCATCCCTCACTTTCCTGCCCTCAAAGGCCGGAACCATCATCATCCACGCCACATTCCTTTCTATCCCCCTTCGAATAAATACCCCCGCCCATTCTCGAGTCATTGGTCGGTGGCTCGCGTCCCCTAGAAAAACAACCTCCAAATGTAATACAGCACCAACACCACCCCGATAATGATGCCCGACAGCTTGAAAATGGCCACCTTGTTCCCCGACGCCGCCATCCGGCCCAGTCGCCCGGCCGAGCCCTTGAGTTGTGTCCCCATTGAGGAGAAGGTTTCGCTCTATTATTCGGGTTGTCAGCCTTCCCATCTATCTGTCCATCTATCCATCATGTATATTTGGATCCATTTGCCGGGGGCGCTGTAGGTGGTAAATGTGGGGACAACGTACCGTCGACTCAATCACCTCGTGCGAGCGCGCCGAGTCGTAGATGTCGATGGTCACGCCGCGCAGGGCCGAGACCTTGGCCGAGAGCTCGTCGAGGCGGGCGTTGTTTTGGCGCTCGCGCTCGTAGGATTCGGACATGTTGGCTGTCTCTCGTCTGTCTCTGTTTCTGTCTTGTGCGTGTGTGTGTTGGTTTGGTTGGATCGGTATGGGGGTGGATGGATCGTTGGTTGGTTTGTGTCGAGGGGCGCAGTTACGGGGTTCGCTCAATCGCGGGTTGATCAGGGAGGTGGTGGTTGCGCGTGGTTGGCGGCTCTGTGTGCTGCGATGAGTTGGTGCCGTTGTCGGTCGGCTGGGTGCGATCACCGAGGTTCTGGGGGGTGGCGTTTTGAGTGGTTGCGCGGGTGGATGATTAGCGGTTGGGAACCGGGGAACAGTGGTCTGGGCAGATAGGCTGTTATTTGGCGGCGGCGGGCGTTATTGGGGTGCTCGTTTGCTGGGAGGTTCGGAATAGTGGCTTTCGTCGGGGATGTGGCAATCTGCAAAGGCCGTGAACCCGTGAAACCCGTGAAAGGAGTTGGCGCCGCGATCAGGGGCCAGCGGGCTTGGCATCATTGGCCGCGTCAGCCACAGTGAGGCGGCGCTGGCTTCGAGCCATGATGTCAGTGGCAGGGGTCGTTGGAGATGTGGGGAAGGATACCAGTAACTAAGGTAGTTACAGGGCGCGGTCTCTGTAATTCATCAGCTGCGTGCCGGCTTGTGCATTCTCCAACTCTGCTCTGAGAGTCTGTCTGTGCCGAAGAAGGCAAGGTAGCCAATAGTGAAGGAACGAAATTCTAGCATTCGATTTAATAAACAAGACTAGTTAATTGTACGCAGTTATGTGGAAATTCTGTGTTTTCTAAGACAGGCCAACTGTATGCTTGGCACTGTGACTTGCTCACTTCAGGTTGCTGCGGGGAAACTTCCGCCTCCCGTCCGAACAGCCTGCCACTTTTACTACCCTTACTCGGCCCTCAGCCGCCACGACGCGCGGCAGCTTTTCTGCTCTTTATCACCGTGCGGCCCGTCCGTTATCTAAGGAGGTAAAATTCGCGTCGAGAATCACTCAGTGCGCCGCGATTTGTTGCCAGCCAGGCCAGTTACCGACAAACCAAAGTTACTAAACCCCGTCCCAAATTCACGCGGAGCCGACCTGCAACCCCACATTCTCCCTGATCCTTCCCGAGTCGGCTGCCTCCAACCTGTCCACAACCACCACCTCGCGATCACCAAGCTTTTGTCCTCGGCACCTAGGTTCACTCTACGCTCTCCACCGTTTCCGATAGCGCACCCGCCCACCCAGCAACCATGGGGATCAATAACCCTCTTCCGTCGTCGATGGCGTGTAAGTCTGTCCCGGCTGTTCCGCGCCAACCCGTCCACGCGACCCAAGTAGGCGACTCTCTTTTCTGACCCTGATGCGCAGCGGAATGTAAAAAGTGCGCCAAGATCCTCACCTCCTTCATCGACCCGCGACAAGCATTCGGCCCCGAGAAAGTCATCCCGCCATCCGTCCTCGCCAATGCCAAGGTAAGCAACCGCCCCTCCCGCCTGACGTCCTCTCCCCCAACAACCCCCTCACCTAACAATCTCCCCACAACAACAGGGCCTCGCGATCCTCACAGTCATCAAAGCCGGCTTCCTCGGCTCGGCCCGCTTCGGCAGCGGCCTCGTCATTGCCCGCCTCCCCGACGGCTCGTGGAGCGCCCCGACCGCCATCGCGACCGGCGGCGCCGGCTTCGGCGGCCAGATCGGCTTCGAGCTGACCGACTTCGTCTTCATCCTCAACGACGCGAGCGCCGTCAAGACCTTCTCGCAGGCCGGCTCGCTCACCCTCGGCGGCAACGTGTCCATCGCGGCGGGGCCCGTCGGCCGCAACGCCGAGGCCGCCGGCGCCGCCTCGCTGCGCAGCGTGGCCGGCATCTTCAGCTACTCCAAGACCAAGGGCCTGTTCGCGGGCGTGTCGCTCGAGGGGTCGGCCATTATCGAGCGGAAAGACGCCAACGCGAAGCTGTACGGGCGGCAGGTCTCGGCGAAGGAACTGCTCTCGGGC